GGAAAGTGTTTTTTATCCATCTGTGAACCAACAACTATCTACTCTTAGTATTTCCTTTTCCCGCAGGATCCAGTCCTCTCTACTTGGGAATAGTACCTACTTTATAAGGCAGTTCATAGTTGGCAGTTGGAGGCATGCAGTCAGAGGTCATTTCCAGAATGCTGTGACTTCCAATGTCAACCAACAGTCTGTTGCACTCCGCATTGAATTGATTTGTGCAATTGGCAATGTGCACAAGTCTGTATGCAGTCCATCTAGCCTCTCTTTCCAGAAAAATGTGAAGAGGAGATAGATCTAGGAGGATCTCCATGGCCGCTGACGGTGTGGTACTGATGGCACCACTGATAGCCAGACAAGCCTGTCTCTGTAAGACAGAGAGCTTCGCTTGGCCCGTTTTCTGTAAAGCCTTCGGCCACCAAGCAATTGCACCATACGTGATCATTGGTCTGACAATCATCACATAAATCCAATGGATTCGTTTGGGACCTAAACCCCAAGTTTTACCACAAATCCTTCGAAACGTCCATAGAGACAGTCTGGCTTTGTGTAAAACTTTTTCCAAGTGAGCGTTCCAGGTGAGTCTTTTATCAAGGACAATGCCAAGATATTTCACCTCCGTTCCAAATGGAATGACCACACCATTGAGGGAAGAAAGTGGCATTAGATCGTCCAATTTCCTTCTTTTCGTGAAGGGGATTAACACAGTTTTGCTAGGGTTGACAGACATCTGCTCCCTCAGGCACCAACTGTGAACAACGTCCAACGCGCTTTGGAGGATATTACAAGCTACCCTTCCCGACGTGGACCTTGCCAGGATGACAAGGTCATCTGCATAAGCTTGCAGATCAACTTTTCTTCTGTCGAGGGCATCAAGCAGACTATCTACTAGGAGCGACCACAGAAGGGGAGATAGTACCTGATAGCCTCGCCTTAAAGAGTCATAGTTGCAGTTCTGTTTACATAGCATAGATCCAGCCAGTTATGGTCGATTCTATACCCTTTCTAGCCAGAGACAATCCTATAGATTCAGGTAGTGTATTGTCAAATGCTCCTTCAATATCAAGAAATACAGCAACCGCAATCTCCTTGTTGTCAAGGGATTGGGAGATTTTCTCAACGAGGTTATTTAATGCTGAATCTGTCGATTTGCCGGTTTGATAAACATACTGGTGGTTATTCAGTGGGGATGCATATAATGCTACCCTCCTGATATGTCCGTCCAGTATCCTCTCAAGTCCTTTCAGCAGGAAGGATGTAAGGCTGATTGGTCGTACCGATTTGGGGTGTGGGTCTCTTCGGACCACTTTAGGTATATATACCACCCTCGCTGCCAACCAACTGGGTGGTACCTATATAGTTCCACGCCAAACTAGCTCTATACAATTTTGTGGCAACAGGTAAAATTATTTCCAGTCCGTTTTGAAGAAGAGCTGGAAATATACCATCCTCTCCGGGAGATTTGAAGGGCTGAAAAGACTGCCGGTGCTGTGATAACCTTTTTTGCGACGTCCCAGTCGTTCTTTTTTGGGCATTTAGCGTCCTCGAAGATGGGTGGTCTGTTGTTATCAAGAGTCAGATTTCCAGGAAAGTGGTTTTCTATCAAAAGCTCTAACGTTTCTTTACTAGAGATCGTAAATGTTCCATCGGGTCGTTTAAGCGACCCAATTTCATCAGTCGGCTCTCTAGAGAGAATCTTGTAAATTCTTGCGCTGCGAGGTAAATCAGAGATACTCTCACAGAACTTCCTCCAAGATTCCCGTTTTGCCTTTTTTGCATACCCTAACGGGCATAAGCATTCAGCCAATCTTTGGATAGCTAAGAACGAAAATTAATATAGTAGTAACTAATCCCTCGACTTTCATTTTTTTGAAAGTTGGGAAATTTTGCTGATGGGATTTGGATTCCCTTCCCCCTGGTTTTTCTATTCGCTACGCCCCTGGCGAGCACTACAGGTCGATGATCACCAATATCTTTTGGCCTGAATTGGATATTCTGGACACCAACGACATGTGGTTTCAACAGGACGGCGCTACGTGCCACACAGTTCATGCCACATTGGGATATTCTGCATGAGCAAAGGTGAAATGAACTGGCCACCGAGATCGTGCGATTTGACCCCGTTAGACTTTTTCTTGTGGGGTTTTCTTGAGTCGCAGGTGTATGCGAATAAGCTACAAACCACAGCGGTCCTCAAAGCCAACATAACCCATGCCATTGGTCAAATTCAGACTGATTTATGTGCCAAAGTCATAGAAACTTGAATGTTCCAGATGCCGTTCACCCAAATAAGCCGTGGCGAGCATTTTAACTATGCTATATTCCGCATATAATGGCATCAATAGATCTTTCAAACGTATAAAAAAATTTGATGATATCTCACACTAACTTTGTTTTATTTAAATTCAAAAATAGGAAGCGCTTAATGAAAGACCGTTTACTTACAACTTTTTCAGATCAATTAAATGATATCAATATCAGACGTAGGTATGCAATGGAAATTAAACGTCAAATGGATTTAAGGAATATCTAATAAACGTTTACCACTGCAACTTTCAATAATAATAATAGCTTTACTTGCCAGTTGAACCTACCAATTCAACCGACCTTGTAGGTCGGTTTACAAAAGTTTCCTTAATCTATTGTCAGATCGAGAATAACAGTAGCGGGTTTTTGAATATTTGCCAAAAAGTACAATTGCGAATTTTCTTTTTTTGGCTCTATCGCCTCCATTTCGAATGATACAAAAAAGCAGAAGAACTCTCCATATTGTTTCATATTTGTTATGCGACGTTTCGTTCATTATGTTTCATAGTCAACTTTATTTTTTTGAATACGGACATGTATTGTAATACATAGCTGAAATCAATGTTACAGTGGCTACAAAAAAACGATGTTTGTTTGTATGAGGTGAGGTTTGTATTTGAAAAATTAAGTTGATGATGAAATCTAATGAACGAAACATCGCATTGCAAAATGGTTTATATCAGATTATAACAAATATGAAAAATATTGAATGTTCCTCTGTCTTTTTTTATATGGAGGCGGTAGAGCATGTTGCTACGAGACAACTCCGTGCCATATTGTTTAAATCGAAATTGTTTAAATAATTGCAAAGCATTGTTATGTTTCAACTGGACATTTCTTTCAAAAATTATCTATTGAAGTACAAATAAAAAAGGTTCTATGATTTTTTTATGAGATTTGGAAAAATTTTATTGTTTATACCTGTTTTTGATTACGCGTGCTCATCAGTATGTATACCCTTCAAAACGGATAGCAACATCATCCATTCAACGAAGATCTGCACCTTGTCAAACTTTATGACAAACTTAATGGTGAAAACTGCATATCGATATCTATCATCGATATCATGTCAACTGATTTTATCTAGAAGACTTTTTTACTTCAACAGGAAGTGCTCAGAATGAAATAATTGCCTAATTTGTCTAAAAACTGCTGAATAGTGGAATAACTTGAGTCACGTAAGAGAAAGCTTATTTTTTTTAGGTTACTTTGACGATATCCCCAACATACTCATTCTATGAGAGAGTGCTTCTGATAGTAATTATTGAATGAAACCAATAAATATTCCATCGGAGATTTTTTATTTATATCAGTTTTAAGTAGAAATTGTCAGATTTGTAACTATTTGTCATTGTGTGATGAAATGTCGTTTTATGAATCTGCGAAGAGTTTTGAGTATGGCTCGTCTATTGCATGCTCGAGTTGGTTGAAGACTGAGGTAAGGTGTCTGCTTCTGGTGCAGGTAACTCATAATGTACGTTGAAATATATATTGATAAATGTGACGAAGTTAACTAATACTTGATAAAAATCCACGTTTTCAAGTTACATTTTACTATGAGATTTTCTCAGAAAAGTTTACAAAATTGCAATATATGTTTTAATATAGAATAGTCTCAGTATAATATAACAATTAAAATCTTTCAAAAATATGTTTTTCCATTAACCAGCTGTCGCCCCTACAACTCTCAAAAGTCTAAACTTGAGTAAGCTGAAGACTAATGAGGTATTATCTTTCAACATGTGGTTCCTGATACGAGTGACAGCAAGTGAAAATAGATGCCTCACAAAACTTCAGTGTCGGCCAAATGGGGAGAACCTTTTCCCAAAGAATAAAAGAGCATATTAGTAGTAAGTTGAATATGAAGACCAATTCCACATTTGCAAACTATCTTTTGAGAAAGGGAGATGACCTGTTGCATTTGGAGGAGAAACGTTTGAAACTTTTGGAATGCTCGGAATTTAGTAGATTCAAGAATTCTGAAAATTTACTGAATGACCAAAACCTTTCTTTCCCAAAAATTAATCTCTCTTAAAAATATACCCTTTCAATTTAGTACTGAATATTTGAATTGAAGGGGTTATATTTTTAGGAGTGATTAATTTTTGGGAAAGAAAGTTTTTGGCTTTCTACTACTCCATCTCGTCCTTGTTTTTTGTATCAAGATGGAGTAGTAGAAAGCCAAAAACTTTCTTTCCCAAAAAGTACTGAATACTTCCCCACTAATAAATCATTTTTCTAACCTGGAAATTAATAGTTAGTTTATTATATGTTCATTTAATGAGTTTGTGAAATTTCTAAACTATAATCATTAGGCAATTATGATGTCATATGATTTAAAAAAAAATCTGTTTAAAATCTTTTTCCTTTAACCAGCTGTCACACCCCTACGAACGACAACCCTCAGAAGTCGAAACCTGCGCGAGCTAAGGACTAACGAGGTCTTACCTTTTAATGTGTGATTCCTAACACATTATATAAAGCATTGATTAGATAAAATTCAATATGTATGAACATGCCTCAGGAATGTACTGTATAGTCAAAACACATTTTGCGGTTTTGTAATTTGTTCAGTGGAAATCTCACAACGAAGTGTTACTTGAATACATTGTAGATTTTCATCAAGTGTCAGTCAATTCTATCACATATGAAAAATCATGACATAAATATTAAAACAGTATAAGGGAAAAAAAAGATTATTCTGAATACATTTTTAATTAGAAAATCCTAATCAGTGAAAATACTCCCAACTCAATATGTTTACTCTATTCTGAATAATTTCTTCTTACAATAAACCCAAAGATCTTTCAACCACAGCATGTGGTTGTCCAGAGACTTCTAAGAATTCTGGAGTATTGAATATATCTTCTGGTCCTATGTCGAGATCTCTACCTGTGAGAGCGTCATGCATTACATTGGATGAAGGCATAAAGGGCAGCCTACCAATTCGTTTGGCAGATTTCAGTTCCATAGCTAAACGGAGGGGTGCGTGCAGTCCTTGCGTGTTACGTAGTACAGTCATGTTCATTTGATGAGCATTTTCCCGAAACTGAAAAATATTTAGTATTAGTAACAACAAAATTCTCAGATTTCACAATTACTAATAATAATAATAGTTTTCGAAATTGGAAAACGTTTTACAAATATTTTTAACGTATTCATATTGATATCAAAAACACATTCTTAATAAAATAATAATAACTGAATCAGTAACTATCAGTGCCCCTGCAAAATTATTTATTAGGTATGAATGAAAATTATTCAAAATGAAATTCATTTAAATTCTTCAACAAACTAGGCAATATTTTTTTCAATATAAGAATACTACTAACTACTTGTAATATAATGTGAGAGTTATTGAACTGAACATAGAATTTCAAATGCTGCTCGTTGTATCGTGAATAGTATAAATAGATCTTTTATTATAGGAATGAATATCTGAACTATGAGACATAGTCTTGGAAATATGCAGGAGCTGCTTATTTATAATTTTTAAAATAAACATTATCAATACCTCTTAGAGACAGACTTTTATTGAAGAAAATTCAACATAAATTATATTGGTGTCGTTCTAATACAATATAAAATTAATTCTCATTCTTCGGTTTTGAGAAATCTGCACTTTGATTCAAATTAAACAGATAGTGAACAGAAAAACAATAATCAGAATATGGCTGTATTATTGCTTTAAACACATCAAATATTGATATTTTCACAAACAAGCTAGCAGCAAAATATCTTCTGCTACTGAATTATTGAAAGTATCGACAAATCAATGTATATCCTTTAGATACAAAATAAATAGAAGTCCTAATACACCAACTTAAACTGCAGCTTTATATACTTCCTAGATGCAACTAGATAATGGTAATCACTAACCTTCAATTCAGAGGCAGCAACTGGGTGAGGAAGATCCACATTACATCTGGAGGCGGCTAGTCCACTGGTCATCAAATCGGTGGTTCCAAAGACTCCTCCATTTATATCAAAACTTTCTGGTACTGAAGGTTTAACTTTCAGTGATGGAAGTGCAAAACTCTAATGAGAAAGAGTATATATTATTGAAGGTTTCATTTCAACTAAATTAACTTACCATTTTTTCGAATGAATTTAAATAAAATGTAGATACAGTAAACAGATGAAGTATGAATCGGCAAATAATCACAAAATCACATACAGTTATAAATTGTCAAATGATATTTGACAGACAATGGCTGTGGCCAACATAACGTTTCCGGTAATATATCCCGACCGCATAAAATGTGAATAGAGAAAAATCTGGGATCAAGAGATGGCGCTGAAAATTTAAATATGTCTATCTAGTGAATATTATTGAAAGTATATATATTGTTTCTTCTGTTAATGAACGTATTTATTAGGTTTTATAGTGGATATCGAATTATCCTGTATGTTTTATAAAAAAAATATAGAGTGCCAAATTACTTCACTCTTGCAACTTTCGTACTGAAACTCTTTTCAGTAAGGCATCACTGAAACGAACTAGTCAGAAACATTCGAAGCCGAAGTTGTACGAGTATAATGACTTCTCTCAGTTGCGGGTGATTTTTCCGATTTTGATAAAAGTACAGTTAGTCGTTTGATGTCGAATGTTGCAAGAATAGTTATTGGTAAACTATATAACAGACATTCAAAAACACTGTGACTGAAAAGTTTATAAGAAAAATTTTCTAGTTTCATTTTAAATCATCAGTTTTCCCAAAGGGCACTTGGTAGATCCTTGAACAAGAGGAAAGCAATTGTTGAGAAATATTTTCTATATTAGGATTCAGCATACACTGAAAGAAAGCAGTTATGACGACATAATAGCTACAATCTCTTCTAAATAAGCAGAAAGAAGCTGCGGTATAATATGTGAATAATCTAGAATCTGATTAGCTATTATAAAATAGACATTTCGTCTCATCGAATCTTTTTTTTGCTACTATTAGTGTTCAGTATTTAGCAAAAAATAATATTAGTTTATTTTTTCCAGTGAAAAATACATCATGAAAAATGTTTTTGAAAGCAGAAACATATATGTTATACAAACAAATATTGAAGAAACCCACAAAAGCAATAATTGTCAGATACTTGAATGTGGGGTCAGGACACAAAGTAAAATAACAGTAGAACAATAATGATTGAAGAAACAATTATTAAATGATAAATAACAGATAAATGATGAGGTAGTCTGAATCAAGAGTATGGTCAGCATATCTATTGTATTTGTCTGCACGAATTAGATAGAAGTGATCACTAGCCACTGAAGACTACTCAACTAAAACCTGTCTCGTCAAAATAAACAACTTTGTCCGAAAAAAAATTTATCGAAAAATCATTCGTTTTTAAGATACTTATTGAAATTTTTCAAAACATGGTTGGTTTTTGTCATAAGTTTTTAATTTTATAGGAAAAAGTTGTATATTTTGACGAGAGCCACTACATACTTAGTTTTGTAATGTTCTTAGCAACTGTAATTAGCGCTTTAGGAGCCAAGTAATATGCATCGATATAGAAAATTGTAAATACTTCGAAAACGATGACCCCAGCGTTGTTGCGGAAGTGTATCTTTTTTTGTTGGAAAAGATGTGGGAATTAGGTTTTTTCTTTTTTCATGAAAAGTACCAAAAGTTTACATGACAGCGTACGCAGTCCCTCTAGATGTTACATGAAAAATAATACGAAAGTATGATTTACCACGTCAAAAAACGTATAAGGTTATCATTGAAATAAATATGCGAGTTGTGCTAAGAACAAATATAATATGAACCAATAATGAAGAAGTGAATCATAAATGAAAAAATCATCCTGTGATTATTGCTAACGAATATAATTGAATAGAATTATTGTAATATCTAACGTGTATTACTTTTTTCCTCTACACCAATTCATTTAAAATAATCTAGCTCACCCTCGAGAAGACTTCCATGTTGTTTTATATTTCTGAAAGATCCTTGTTGCAGAAAATGTTCGTCATTATTAAAAACATAATCGCTATTTATCACATGAGCATCAATAGCCGGTATTGAGAGCGATGATACATAACGATTTTTCGAATCGTCTGGTTTTTTGTTTTTCACTTCTATCAATCTTATCACTCCACGTTTGATCTTGTTGTCCAACTCTTGTAATCTTTCAAACTCTAAGCGCCCATAATGTCTTTGCTGATGTTTCTTATCGCTTTCAACAGGGTGGCCATAATGTTCATTTGTCGTAGAATCTTCGTAATAATCGTAATCCAAGATATGACCAGGTTTTTCTCTGGTACACTCATGTAATTTGTTTAATTTTTCATTGATGCTGTTCTCATATTTTTTGTGTTGCCTTCGTTCCTTGAAACTATTTGCCAAACCAGAGTCTCTTCGATAGAAATCATTTAAGGTTGGGATGAAATTGAAAAATTTTCGAATATCCCTGCTGTTTATGAAAAATCCCTCTGAATGTAAAAAGCCATTGAGTAAAATTGTTAAAAACACCTGAAAAACGCACAGATTGAACTGAAACTACCACGGCAATTTTATATAACTCACAGTTCTTACAGACATTGTATAAACTTCAAATCAGAGATTATGAATAAACTAGAATACAATTTATATGAAATTGTTATATTTCGTTTCCTTCTTATTGGCCACTGATGATATAGGACGAAATACGGAACTAATGCTCTATCATTAACATATTCGTTATGCATGACACTTTCCAAAATTTCGGTACTCATTTGAATATCATATAATTTTCATACCATATAATTTTCAAAATAGTGTGACACTGATCTAAAACATAGTAGTAGCAGTAGTAGTTTATTAATCACTAAATTACATGTATTTATAAAAGCAAACAATAGAAAAAATGAGCCATTAATATAGATATAAGAAAAGGTTTGTCAAAACGAGTATTCTTATTGAATTTTTATCAGAGGAAACATAGGTATTGATGATTCACTTAAGTTTTTGGAAAACTTGTCTGCGAAACATCAGTATCGAAATTCTTTCCTTTGAAGATGGTCAAGATATAATGTATTTTGAGTTACTCCGGCAAAACATTTTAGTGCTATCTTTTCCTAAACAGTAGTGAATAATATTCTTAGTATACTACAAAAAAGACACATTGAATATAAAATCTAAAAGTATAAAATCTCTAAACGTGTACTTAATGTAAAACATATGAAACGTAAAAATTTAAATTTGTAAACGTTTATAAATATGAATGTTACAATATACAATACAAACTCGTCTTAAATTAAAAGTATTCAAAATGCTAGGTAGGGATGAAAAATACATATGAAAATTGAGACATTAATTCAGTAGAATTTCTCTATGTAATGTTATATTTTCATTCTTGAGCCATTTGATCACTGAAATTTTGAATAACTTAAACACATATTCCGTTTTTATATGATCTGGAGCAAGATTGAATAATTTGGGTCCAATGTATGTAATTGATCTTTGTCCAATAGCTTTGTCCATTTTCGGTATGTCTAGGTTACTCGCTTTGAGTCGGGTTTCATATCCATGTTGATGATTTTTGAACTTATTTCTGCTGTGAAATATTATTAATAAATTGTTTAAATTAAAGATGTATCAAACTCATCAGATCACAATATTGGAATATTTGTGCTGATGCGAAACGAAAATTCAAATTATAGATAATTTTGAGAAATCTTTTCTGTAGTACCATAAGCGGTTGTACAGTTGTACTATAGACCCCACCCCATCCTAGATTTCCATACATTAAGAGTGAGTGAACTAACGAAAAATATATACCTACTGCGCAAATCATTGATACTCAGTATATTTTTAAGTGTTCGAAAAACATACAAAACGGCTCCGGGTCTTTTACAATGATAATCTATATGTATTTTCCAATTAAGATTATGATCAATGTGTATTTCGAGATATTTTACTGAACTGGATTTTTTCAAAGTTATGTTCTTATTTCTGCTAGTTAAATGAATATTGATGTTTTGTGCATTGGGAAACTCATTATTGTTACTACAAAATGAAATGTAAGATATTTTATCAATATTTATTATCAGTAAACTATCATGAAGCCAATTTCACCTCTTTATTCTTTGTAAATATATTCTGTTGGCAAAAACAGTGTAACACGTCTACATCAGAATAGAATAGTATAGAATATATTTATTTGACTGCATTACAATACATGTTTGCTTGTAGCATGTCATATTAAAAAAAAAGACAATACCGTATAACATATAGTGAATTGTAATGTAATTTTTGAAAATAATATGATTTTTGAAATAATATTAAAACAAGAAACGATAGTTGAAAAAAACCATAGAAAGTAACATAAAATTGGAAAATTGGGCAAGACGAATTTTATTCCCTACAAAGTCTGAAATGTTCAATGTATTCCTCTGTGGAATAAAAACAATACGTCTATAGTAAGTTTTTCGTTAACCATATTACAGAAATACAATTGATCTTCATTACCCAACGTGTTTCAGTGTTTAAAACAATCTAACGGTTTGAGACAGGGTAAAATAAGATCACATTTCACAATATCTTTCTTGCTAATTCGCCATCTAGAAAAGTCTTCGTTCAAGGATTGGCCAAAGAGGCAACATCTTGTGGAGGTTATTATACTGTAGCAGTTATCATGGCGTTAATTTCATAGTATAAAATATTTGAATGATTTCAGTAATTCAGTATAATATGATCTTCTGAGATACTAGCTCGCACATTGATTTCTTTGAGGTTGCTGCGTACCTGTTATGTCAATTTTTTCTTTAGTAGAGTAACTATTTCTTAATAATCGAAAAATATAAAGAATATATTATTCAACGAGAAGTACTATCATGGCAATAACCACAATAAGCAAAAAAAAGTATCTTATTTTCATAGAGCATTTTCATATGCAACTTGAGTTAATTCCATATTCTCATCTATCACCAGACAAAACTTTTTTTTTATCAATTGCAATACTGAAATTCCAAAATCTGTTCGTCTTTTTAATAAAAGAGTCTACTACTAATTATTTCTATATAATATTTTGTATACAGTGAAATTAGGTACAATTAGGTTCAGTTTTGTGCATTTATGAGAGTATTGTTTTTTCGTGGGATAATAATGTTCGAGAGAAAGTAATGAATTGATGAAAAACAATACTTCTGGAAACATGAAACACAAGAAATTACGATTTGATAGCTGACGAAACTTTGTTCTTGTTTTACCATTTGATTTAGTTCTAAAGTTACCGCCGAACGTGCACGTAGACTTCCTTATAAACGGTGCAGTGTGTATAGTCACATTTTCGATTTGACACTAAAATATTGACATGTGTTCTAATCTAACCTCTTAACCTTAATCCTTAATGTCAACTGTCGCTTATATAAGTGAGGAGAAAGGAATCAAAGCTGGAAGAAGCGAAAAAATCCACTTCATAAATTGGTTATCAATTATGTTCAAACAACCATCAGTCATGGGACAGATTTGTCTCAGATAAAGATCGAGCGAGTAATATTACTTAACAGTTATCCAACTTTTACAAAAGTAAAATTCAAACTTCATATCAGTTGACGTGTTAGGATAACTTCTTCAACTTGAGTGCTAGTAATATTCTTTGAGGGAACAAAAAAAATCAGTCAAATAATAAAATGAAGTTCAGTGCTCTCGATGTCCCTGGCATCGGTACCCTGTCAACATGTTTTTTCGTATCCCTAACTTATTTTACACTTGTTTTGGCTGATTTGGAACCTAAAGAAACTGATGATGAAGTAAAACCAACTGTGGTAAGTGTATTTCTTAAATCTCGGACTATTCAAAAATAACATTTACTATTTTTCAGATGCTGCCCAATACCACACCACAGAGTGGAGTTGTTGAAAATGTGGGATTTTTACATGGATTTCTAGCCAGTTTGAGTGTAATTCTTGTTTCTGAAATAGGAGATAAGACATTTTTCATTGCTGCTATTATGGCTATGAGGCATCCTCGGTTGACTGTTTTTGCTGGAGCAATCTCAGCGTTGATACTCATGACAGTTTTATCAGGTGAGGTATTACAAAAAAGTTAGAAAACCAATTCTACATCCTGTGTCTTGTTTTCCTATATCCTCAATCCAATCAATTTTTCTTTAGTTCTTGTTAGTTTTATCAGGTGAAATATTACAAAAAAGTTAGAAAATGCATTAAAAATACTGTGTCTTGTTTTCCCATATCCTCAATACAATAAGTTTCACTTTGATGCATGGTCTTCATTTATTGATGGGATTAAAATGGATTTTTTTAACCAGTTATCATCATCTTATGAAGGACAATCTTCAAAAGTCAATACTTGTGTAAGCTATTATCCAGGTCTTACATTTCAACTTGCTATTCCTAGCATGGGCCACACAGTTATTGCCCTGAGTTGGAATTGAAACAACATTCACAATAGCATTGGTTTCATGAGTGTAGCTAACTAACCAACTGGTTACCACCTGATAAATACAATTCAGCAAATTATTAGATATTGACTAAAAAAAACACTGCTCCCACACATAAGAACTGCAATACCTTTCTCAATGCAGCAATTCCAATTTTACCTATCACTTGAAAAGATATGTCATTAATATAGTCAATGAAACTGAAAATGAAGCAATTGAATTCTCAAATCCAAAGTGTCACCTTATACATTTAATAGAATACTGAAGCTTCAATTGGATTTTTTTATTGAAATGTGTAAATGAAGGCACAACCAAAAATTGTTATTTTATGAAAGTTTCTACTGGTTTACAATCAGGAATAGTATTTGCCTCTTCATAGTCTATCATCCAGCTACTGTTTAAAGTATTTATACAGAATGATTTAAGATCATGTACCACATCAGCGCCTTAATGATGTTCCTGTAGTGCTTGTGTTTTGTCCTTAAAAAAAAGTTACAGGTATATTCAGCTGAATTTAGAAATTATGAGAGATTTGGGATATAAAAAGTTTGATCCAGTTGTATCTTCTTAAAATCTGTTTTTCCGTTAACCAGCTAGAACAACAACTCTCAAAAGTCAAAACTTGTTCGAGGTAAGGACTACGAGGTCTTACCTCGTGTGATTCCTAACATGGTTAAACTTTAGATGTTTTGATTAATGCCAATCAAAATTTGTTTGTGAAATAGCAAAGAAATACCTTTTGTATTAATTATGATGTAAATCAATGGGAGGGTTCATACACCACTTTTTTACTTTAACAAAAGTTTTGTTGTTGGGTAGTCTTCCTCAAAGTAAGAAAATATGCATGTGCTTACGACAGTGCACCCAATATTGATTTTCACATAACCCTGGTATTTGATGATGTTTCCATTCGGCTATTATAAGTGCATTCCAGTTAAAACAAGCCACCATAAACAAATCAGGTTCATATTGAGAAACATATTGTGAAACATATCAACTTTGGCTTTCAGGGAAACATATTTTCACATTTTTTGAGATAGTGACTGTCAGCTAAGTTTTATTATTAGAGTTTTTAATTTTTGCTCTGTTTAAACTCAAGTTTTTATTTCATTCATTATCTTTTGTTTCATAAAATACGCATCAAGAGCGTATTGAAATAGAGGGTTTCTACTACGAACATGGAAAATCTACAAGGGCCATTGCTCATGTTTTCAATGACAATCATCCAGGCTGAAATGTAAGACATGAATACCTATGTATTGGAATTGTTACATAAATTCAAACTGTCAGGAATAGTCAATAACAAAGGCATTAATGTTGCAATTCTAGGCTATGTTACCTTGATACAAAATATGCAGTCTTAGAGCAGGCATCAGAAGTGAGCCTTAAAAACGTTTACAAAAATGAAAATGATTCATGAATTGAAGTGAAATGATTTTATAGAAAAGTTGAATTTTGTGAAATCTCAGAATATGTCAACTGTAATCCGCATTGTAGTGGATAAATGTACCTTTACTCTGAATGCAAATAAATCGTCAAAATTTTAGGTATTGGAGTAATCGAAATCTCAATATAGCTTGCCAAATTTACGTCTATTATTCCCATGGTCTAGAGCCACATTACAATCTGATATGTTTAGTTTCTGTTTAAGGCTATACTTTGAGATATCTATGTATCACCTGTACTAAGGTCTATATATAATTCACTTAAAATAACATGATAAAAAATTTTGAAATAGGAGAAATATGATCAGCTTCTTTATAACTTGAAGGGTTCTATTATCTGGGTTATTATATTTAATTTGTTGTAGAAATTCAGATCATGAGGTATAGTGTTAATATCATGTCATATTTCAATTTCTTCATCATCACATCATTACATTATCAATGATTTTTTTATAACAAGGAAGTTAATTATGATTGGAATCAAGGGTATTATTGATTTTTTAAACCAGATCTCCATTTTAATTGTTTGTTTACTTTCTCTTGATTACTGGTGAAGTAAATCAGAATAAAATTAGAACCTTGAAGTTGACCAAGCTTCAGTGTTTTTATTATCAGGAAGCTACATTCGCTGATTCATATATAGACTTCGAAAACAGGTGAAATAAAGAAATTTTAAAAGTAGTTTTCAGCTGGAAAGTATTCACCTTGTAACAAATACTCGCCTTATTGTGGAAGTGAAGGAATCATGCTGAAGTTTTGTTCTGCAAATAATCATTTGTCAGTCTGTGGCCAGGTTCATTCACAAAAATAGTTTCAATGTGTATAATGAACGATAATGAAGATCTTTACATTTTGAAGCATTGGATTTTTTGGGCACTACTAGTTCGTTTTCATATACCTACTGAAAAACAGTTTTGAAGTTTCGGATATGTTACTAGAGTTTTGATGTGTTTTAAAGTGATTGCTCAGAACGAGCGAAATATATCAAAAATATATCATCCCTCTGGCATAAATCAGGTACATATTTGGTTCACAATTATTGTGTAGTTTTGCTTTAAAAAATATGTTTCCATGAGTTATCAATCTATCTGAGGATGGGGGTGTCATCTTCCATATATGCTGACTCTTCAGTCTCCAACTTCTCCATGAATCTATATTATCCAAAACACAAGGATTTCGTACGTAGCGTATGAGTGCCTAAATTTAATAAACACCATATAATGAAAACAATTATTTTTTGTGCATTGACATGTATGGAAATTATGAAAAGTTACCTGAATCTAAGTGATAAAGGCACAATGTGACAAATTTATGAAAACTAAATAAGCTTGACAAAGAGTTAAATGTTGATTTAAAAATTTGGAAAGTTATATTCCCAACCATGGAAAATGACAAAAAAAACACAACTTGTTAGCATTCATAAAACAAGGAAAGATTTCAGGAAAAAAATCGAAGTGAATTGAATGAATAATTATTTTGTAGCGAATAATACTGATAAAGTTTTGGCACAGTGTAAAATTTTTCACAAACAGTTTCAAATTGACATTCTCAACAAAATATACTTACTGAATCAAAAGTGTGAATTTACATACCTGTATATAGTATACAGATTGAAACACTTCTCCCTAATTGCACACAAAATTGGTACTGTTTAGAACTCTTGATTGCATTATATTACTTGTGCTTGAGTAATAACTCTATTAAAACAGTGCCGTATTAAAGTTGTAATGGAATTTGAACGTAAACTACATAAAAACATACCGTTTATTTGGGCAGTGCTTTGATCTCCCACCAGCCACGTCTCATTCTGTGTACTGTATTATCAAATGAAATGTATGGAACAAACAGTTCTTTTCAATTTCACAAAGTTTTCTCAGAGGACTTCAAATTATTATCAAAATTATTTTTTATGGGAGAACATGACTACTCAGCGATAAGTTCAACATTAATAAATTCTCTAAGCTGTTTATAGTTTTTTTTTTAATTATTTTTGTTTAGGTAAAATAAGAATTGTTTATTTTAATTCATTTTGTCTTGAATATTTTAATTGCTTAGTTTGATTGGGGGGTATTAACTTGGAATTATTTCATTCTTAAACCGGTTCCATTCACTTGGAAAATAATTAATTTTTCAAAATGATGATGCTCTCCTCATTACTTTAGTTATTTTTTCATACATTAAGTGGTAGAACAAATTGATTAATTTATTTCATTGTTTGAAAAATTGTTTAATATGAGGTCATGTCACAGGAGGTAGATGTTTGGATAATCTGGTTATTCTTTGTTAAGATATTATGACACATACAAAACAATATTTCACATTGAATTTTTTTTTCAGCTCTTTTTGGTTGGCTAGTAAATGTTATACCGAGGGCCTATACTTATTACATAAGTACCGCACTTCTTGCCATTTTTGGTTTTAAAATGTTGTGGGAAGGTTTCCATATGGATAAGAACGAAGGAAGGGAAGAATTAGAAGAGGTCCAAATGGAACTAAGGCAAAGGGATGAAGAGGTAATATTCGATCCTTACAGTTGAAAATTCACATTCAATTTTCTTTATCATGTAATAAAACTTTTAACGATGAAATATTTCTATGTTTAGCTTTTGAAACAAAATAAACAATAATAGTTTCAACTGAAGATAAAAAAATAATCCTCCCTTCGAATTAGGCACTTATGTAGTCATTTATGTGACTTGGATTTCAAACGAATATTCATAATTGGATTGATTAATTTCAGTTTTGGTGAAAGAGTTTTCAAAGATTATTCCTTACAAGTAACTATTGATGATTTTCTTTCACATATTAATGATATATTAGAAATAAGGACTTTGGTCGATAGCCAGTTGAGCAAAATTGTAATTTTGTTCAATAAATTATAATTATTGTTATTAGAAATTGAAAGAAATTATATTACTTTGTCAACTATACTACACTCAGCTTATTTTTCAATTTAGATATCTGGACAACAAATATAACAGAAAATTTAATAGATGAAACAGTCCAAAAACAAAGCATTCAAGATGCAACATCAGGCAGCACTGTTTTGATCTGCCATAGGTCTCATCAGTAATGCCAGGTTGAACCAAGAGGCTATAGATACTATATTTGAAAAGGAATCTGCCATAGGTCGATTCTATAGACGCTATTTTCTAAAAAGGATATATTCATGCTTACTTAGCTGATACATTTCGTATCTCGGTGAAAACCTGAAAGAAATTCTAGCTTGAGATGATGAGATGATTTTAAATAGAATCAATATCAGCATAATTTATATTGATGTCAGACACTTTTCACGGAGTCTATTAAGGATTTTTCCACATTGTTTGTACATCTCTATGAAAAAAGTAAACCCCAACTTAGGCAGAACTTAGCTATGAAAAAGGTGAGCATATCGGCTTTATTGTTTCCAAGGTTCTCCAAAAATGTAAATAGATATAAACAATTTTTTTAATTGGTATATATTTTTGAAATTTTCAAAAATGTCGCAAAGTTACAAATTTTACCATCAGGAAAAAATTATACAATTAGGACTTGCTTGTTTACTTGTAAGAAGGTAAAATATGGGACAAACTGACTAAATTTTAGGACAAATTGTATTTTTCTTTAAGAAACAACGTTTTACAAAAAACTTTAGAAAAAGAAAATAGAGATCATTTTACTAAAAATCGCAAGGATCAAATACAAAAAATTTTTCCTTCCTGTATCATATAGTTTGAGATTTGACAGAATAGTGACAAATTGATTCTTAAGTTGCTAATGTATTTTATTTGTGGATAAATATAATTGTTAATGCCTTTTCTCCGCCTAAACTTTACAGTCAGCATATCATCATTTTGCATAAAATGCTTCAAAACCTTTTTGGTAGGAAATTATACAACATTGTACTGACTTTGTTTGGCAGGTTTTCCTCAGTTCATTGGATTTCTTCTTCAGTCTTCTCCGCTTCTATCTCACGATTTTCTTCTATCCCTCAATGAAATTCAACCTTGAAATGCGAGTTCAAATTTTCTCTGATTGAAATTTCTTTGCCCATGGAAGAACTATAGTTTGGGACCAGTAATGAAAATAGTATGCATCACCACTTGAAACTGTGATGACAAACATAGTAGTGATAGAGTTTATGGATGTTTTTATAACCTTTGCAGGGTATTTAGTTCCTCTTCCGAAAAATGCATTGTTTTGATCTAGAGTCGTCTATTAGATTTACTTCATCGTAGTTTGATACATTTTTTCGATGGTGCTCCATTGAGCTTAGTTTTAGATTTCTGAAATAGCTTTCTAGTTTCCCTCTGCCACTGTCTGCTCAGCTATATTTAATATTTTGGCAGTGCCTTTGGGTCAGATTGCCCTTGTCATTCCAAGAAAATATGACACCTATTCTTTCCAGGCATGATTTCAATAACTCTTCTCATTATAAATCCGTCTTTATCGAAATAATATTTCACGACTATTCATAGATCTCACATAGTTTTATTTCGGAATTCAGCACATGTTATTATAACTTCGAATAGAGTCGACTCCACATCAGACAGTTACTGTTGGGGAGCTTAAGTTACCTGTATGCTTTTTCTTAATTTTTTTATATAAGGTCCTGGGTATATTGAAATTTTGGGCGACTTTATTTGAAGTCACCCTTCCTTTTAGAACGGTGGCCACCGCATTTATAAATGTTTGTTCGTCGTTACTACAATAGTGCCTTTCATATGGCTCAAGTTATTCAGCAAATATGTGGGGGTATCTGCAATTTATCAATGGTTCAATGACTTTCTACATAACAACACTTAAACTAATATATGAGGTGAAATTATGATAAATTCTGACTTTTTATTATCGATAATCAATTACGCAGACTTTCTACTATGCACTCAGGCAACCTTGATATTTTATGACAGACTGAAAAGAAGTCAAGCTTGTCATACTCCAATCTGTATCACAAGAAATTCGTCAGTAGTCAATGTGCCAAGTTACCTTACTGTGGAAAACTAACCTCACTTTACGGTACTGTTGAAATCAAGGTCACTTTTAATATTTTTTCATTCAAAAACCATATTTTTTTTACATTTATCAAACTGATAGAACTAATATAATATATAGAGAGGTTCTCTCTGACAAAAAGTGTTCAGTTCTGAACTCTAGTTATCTTTTTTTCTGAATTCTGCTGCCATTAAGACTCAGAACTTCATGTATCATAATTTTTCAGCGTGAACGAGAAGTTGTACCAGACGTGGAGATAGGTTCTGCAAGAAGAAAGAAATCAGTATGGTACGAAGTATTCAGAATAATTTTAGAAGCGTTCACTTTAACGTTTTTAGCGGAATGGGGTGATAGGTCGCAGTTGACTACAATCCTCTTAGGAGCTCGGGAGGTAGTAATTTTCAACAAACATTGCATAGAAATAATAATTTAATTTTAGAATGTGTATGGAGTGATAATAGGAGGAGTTTTGGGACACTCTGCATGTACGGGTGTGGCTGTGTTAGGCGGGAGGATGATTGCCCAGAAAATTTCTGTTAGGACAGGTAAGTCGTTTGAAGTTTAATTTTTTTGAATCACCTGAAATATCTTTTTGTATTTTGTCTTCACTTGTTTGAACTTTTCACGTGTATTGATGTGTGACTACATTTTTGATAATGCATGTTGTAAATGTTAGTTGAATTACTGGCTCAATAGCATCACAACCAGAACACAGTTTATTTATTGAATGACAGAATTTGGTTCTCAAATTTGATTTTCTTATCTATAGATATTCCTAGAACTCATGAGCTATCCTAATTTTAAATTTGATTAGCCAGGCGGAGGTCATAGCAAGAATTTACAGCACCAAATTTGTTTTTTCAGTGTTGAGAATTGAATTCTTGGAGTGACACCATTTTTACTTTATACAATCGGAACATCTGCCAAAATGTGAATTTATATAATTCTTCATACTTTCAGTGACGATCATTGGAGGAGTAGTTTTCCTTATATTTGCCGTTTCATCTCTCTTCTTCGATCCGAATGCTACATGAAGACTTGGAGAAAATTATTGATAGGAGAGAAGTACTGTGATTGGTGAAAGCAGAATATTTTAATGGGCATTCTGTCGACTAAAGAAATAATGGTAGTGCCCTTAACATATTCTTCATTTAAGAGATTCTTGTGTATATAATGAATTGCTGTTTTTATTTTTGCATTTATATTACCTCAAGTTGTCAAGTCAGTATTGACAAATTTATCGAAAATAAGAGTACTGATCCTTGTGTTCCTAACTATTGTTATGCCTTTGGAACAAACTCTTTTCGAGCTGGAGTTTCTCAAAAGATACAAATGACATGTCATAACATGCATACATTCTTTTTCAATTTAGGATAATGGGTATTGTTAGAATATATCAGGCATCTGCAGAAGCCATCCAACATTATTTTTTATTTGATTAATAGTTGGTTTCAAACCTGGAGGAAATTGATGTACTTAATCCTTCTATAATATAATTATAGGTTATGTAAAGTATTGTACAATAGGTCAAAAGTAATCACTACTGAACATTTTTCGTTAGATATGAGGTCATTTATAATTATAACAAGTTTATTGAAAGGTGATGTTGACTATTTTTGACAAAGTGTTATCTATTCTTACTTATATAGCCCAATTTTTTTTATTTCATTCATAATTTTTCTCTGAAATGCCAATACTTGTAATGTGACCGTTGTGACGTCCCATTTTACCAATCCCTCTACTGATAAGGCGATATAAATATTTTTGCCTAATCAAGCAGCAATAGCTATTGTATAATGGAACACGTGTTGCGGTTTTGAAACTGGTCAGTGAAAATCTCACAATAAAGCTATTCTTGAATATGTTATGGATTTTCATCAGATGTTTTCCTAATCTTTCTAAAAACTAAATATTTCGAAATAAAACATTGAAATATTCATCTCTCCAATTATCTACACCAGGGGTTTGTTTCAAATCATCATATCCTGAATTATAAAACACAAGACCTAAAAAATTAATGTGAGAAATTACAACGACGGTCTTGAGCCAGTTCTTTATAGTTTGGTTTTTGAGAGGAACAGCAAATTCGAAGTGTGTCTTCTAGGTTGGCGTCCGTTAATCTCGAACCATATTGGTTTTCAAAAAATTTATCTTTGAGAAAGATGTTTCACACACATATGTCAAGCCAAACATAGTGGCCAAATTTATAGCTAGTTTCTTGGAATTTTTGTGTTTTTCTGGAACATGTTTGGTCCAAAATTCTTCAATGGATACCGTTTTATATATTGGCTGCCTGGCAGCCACATCTGTCAATTCTGCTGCTACATCAACATCAGGTGACGATTTAAGAAACAGAGATAGCTTGGCCATCTCTACAAAGTCTTGGAATCTAGTAGCAAATTCGTTCCTAAGATCGGCCAGAAATTTTACAAACACTGCAATGTCTTCTTAAGAGTTCTTTTTATATTAAAGAATTGGTATATAACACATCACAATATTTGGCGGTCCGATGTTCTAAATTTCGCGGTCTGCCTACTGCGACCGTTGGTCTAGGAGAAAGATTGGTAACTAGTAACAGCTCTATTTCGTGAACAAAGCCCCAAGCAGGGAATTAGCAGGGAAAGTAGTTGTTTTCCGGCAGGTATTTATTTATTTTGAAATATTCATTTTCTAGTACATATGTTTCTCTCCTCGATACAGTCTTCAGACAGGGTTTAATCTTTCTGATGAAAGATGAGTTCTAAGTTTTTTCAGATGCGCAGTGCCTCGTTGTGAACATGATCATGTGATCATGAAACAATCTTGTGTCATGGTGTTTGTGGTCGCACCAATCCGAAATGGCTCGACCAATTTGTATGAAATTTTTTGTGTATATTTGGTAAGTGTGAGAATAGGTCATATTTCATACTGCTGGGTGATCAGGGTTTCTCTATACAGAAATTTTTTTTTGTGATTTTTTTAATTCGGCATCAAATTAAGACCGTATAGAAATAATTTATATGGCAGAACAATGTGTACTGGGTTACTTAGTTTTGCTATAAGTTTTCATAATATTTGTTTATTTTTATACCAGAAGTTTTTGTTTTTAATTTTTCAATAATGAGAATTGGGAAAGTAAATAAAATTGAGTAACAACTCAACACGTTGCCTGCCTTAGCTTTGAAACCGTTAACATATTGACCAAAAAGTGGGTTCTGTAACATGGGTTTGAAGTGCCATGAATACTTTTTCAAAATTCCTTACTTCCACTATGAACTATGATACATGCAAAAATGTCTGGATCATTTCAATAATCGACATAATACTGTTAATAAATAACATTTGAGTAAAATTTACGTATTTTCTCTGACTTTACTCCAGTGTAAGAGTGAAAATGTGTTGTATCTGGACTGGCAACAAACTTTTTCAATAATTATTATCAATTTTTCTTCTGTACATGTTCCACTTATTAAAATTTATAGGCAACTGCTCTGGAACTAAGTTTTACTATTTATTTTCCAGTGATATTGACATGTCATTTTTGGCTATTCTTAAGTTTTAAAGTGACTATATTCAACGTGTGCAAATTTTGATGAGATTCATGAGCTTTGTCTCATTTTGATTTGCACTTCAATGAAATGAGTGTTTTGCTCTTTTATATAATCTAGATAATTTTGAAAAAATTATATATTTTTGTAGTTGAAATGTCTATAATAACTGATCAGTGTGAAAATTTAGAGAAATGTTTTTGTCATTGAGGTTTTTTAGAATATGTTAACCCAATACTATAAAGTCATATCATACGAGTACATACGTTTTTATAGAAATAATAAAATGATAATTGTGATAAACTACCATAGATTTTCAGTATTCCTTTGAAAAAAACAACCAGCTAAAATATATTCCATGTGATTTTTAAATATATAGTTTTGATTTTTCATGTATCTGTATTGATTCCATAATTTGTAAAAATAAATTATTTTTCATCTTGAGGAAAAGCTAATACTCTAGTGTTTTGCGATATATTCATTTAGCTTCATGTTTTGATGTATTTCTGGCAATGTGTGTCGAAACCTGACTTTGTAATAAAACAATTCAAAATGTTGACACTTGTGTATTTGTGAAAAGAGGTAAAGGGGAATCATAATATTATGAAAATTGAGAAATGAATCTTCCTATGTTTTTATACCATTTGTTTTTATACCACTGCAGTAACTAAAGTTACTGCAGTTCCATCCTATAAGGATATTTTCAAATGAATACAATACAGTTATTGTATTGTATTAGTTACAAATACAATAAGTGGTATAAAAACAGGAAGTTTTCTTTCTCAATTTCCATTTTGATCTACCTTGTTCGGCTACATCTCCGACAATCTAAAAAAAATTCAGTATGTTACAGGTAGCAAAAAACTTTTTATTTTATACAGATGGTAAAATCTTTTGTATCCAGTCAAATAATCCTAGAATTTCATTCTTTTTTAATTCGTGCAAAGTGTTTTTGATAGTTACAAACTCGGCCTTCACGCCAAGTTTGGTTAAATCTTCATATGTTTTTCGGCCCCAATCAATAGGGACCAACGAATCACGGTCTCCGTGACACATATAAAGAGAAATTTCGGGTATCTTCTGTTCCTTGAAAATTGCTGAGTCGTTGTTTAGGAATGACGACAATGTGAATACTCCTGCTAACCCTGGGTTAAATCTATAGGCTACATGGAGAGCCAGTGCTCCGCCCATTGAAAAACCACCTTGAATGAACAAAAGAAATTTATTCATTTGCTCCTTTTTGTTTCTTTTAGGGCTTATTTGCTTTTAAGCCAATATAGAAAATACAAAATTATGAAAATATTATTTTGTCTCTTCAAATATGTATTCTATTGAAGAACTGTTATTATATTGTTACTTAAGATTATGCAAAGCAGAGAAACAAAAACTGAAACTCAGTTAATTTTTTTTTAGAAACCACTCAATAAATGACAATAACTTTTGCAAAATAATTAATTGTATGTATATACCTATAAGTATTATATTTTAGAATATTAATGATAATCAAGAAATCTTTTACTCTGTAACTTATTTTTTTTCAGTTGAAAGAACAATTTTATTGAAAATAATACGAATTATGAAATTGTGGAACAACAACAAAAATTAATTGGGGCTCTAAGGCGACTTGATTGATTTCAGTGGCGCATTTGCTTTTTCCGCTGCAGGAAAACCCGGAAAATTTGCAGCACCTCATCTGAAGATCTTGATCTTTCATACAGCAAAATGTAGTGTGTCTCCACAGGCTTCAATAAATTCAAGATAGTGCCAGAATATTTACTGACACGACTATCGTCAAACTCAACCCAGTCCATTTTCTCCATGACCAATGGGTAATAATGACTAGATTCATCTGTTACGAGTTCTACCCCCAGACGTTTTCCTTGTCACTGAAATCATATAATTCTAACTCTGTACTTTTCAACAAGGAAATGAAGTATTATTATTTTTTTACCGTAGTATGCGCTGGTCAGGCCCTATCCTCCGAAGCTCCGATACATTCGGGAGGGCGCGCCAGCATTATCAACCAACGACCACTCCCCACACCGTGGGGTAAGTGACCATTGGGTCCCAGAATCATGTTCCCTGAGCAGGCGCAGTGAGTCAAGAATTGACAGCTTTCTACATCTGTCCGGCTAAAATTTCTGCCTTTGTGCGGCAAGCCGGTATGATTTTAAGATTCGAGAGTAGAGAGGGCATCATTCCACCAAGGACTCCAATAATCAGAACAACCATCTTGACAGAGGGGTCTGGATAGAGTCTGCGGAGTTCGAAGAGAAAGTCTCGATATTTGATCCGTTTTTCCTCCTCTTTTCGGATGATATTCGTCTCGCCAGGAGCTGACTCCGCGACAAATATCGTCTTGCTCCAGTGATCGAGAAAGACTACTTCAGGCTTTTTAGCTTGCATAAGCCTGAGGGTGGAGAACGAATAGTTCCAATAAGTTCAGCACTTCTCGTTCCCCACAACGGATTCAATATCTCCCAGAGCGTAAAGCAACATATGTGTCTCGTCAATACCGTAAGTGTGTCGTAGATGATAATATAGCACTGTTAGGGCCGCGTTATGTCGGTGGATATAGGCAGAGAACGCATATGCTGGACATGCTGATAGCAAGTGCATTAGGGTCTCGGGCGCCTCGCGGCAGGCCCTGCACCTTGTGTCAGGAATCTCTATATTCATCACGCGACTGCGGTAGACTAAGGTGTTGAAGACACCATCCTGGCAGGCCATGATGAACCCCTCAGTTTCCGACTTCAGCCCACTCGACCTGAGGAAAGCGAGTCAGGCGCTTTGATAAGCCAAGCAATTATTATTATAGCGATCCTGTATACATTTCAATCAGTACATATAATCTAATGTTCGAAGATCATCAGAAACTACCCAATAGTTTAGTAATGTTAGTAGTTCAAATTTCCATTGTCTGAAATAATTAACAGATTTGAAATCTAAGTAGGGTACTAAATAAATGGGAAAATTATAGGACCAAAATATCATTTGGATGAAAAGACGAAAAATATGCAAAAAATGAAAACTCTGATCTTCAATTTATTTTTTTCTATTTGGTCAACGACTGAAATGATGAATTCCATGTGTCTGATGATTTCTAATATTGGTGTACTGCTATCAGCTCCATCTGCTGCAACGTAAAGCAACCGAACATTTTTTTTTCACTTTTGATAATACTAGACATTCAATAGAAAATTTTAGTACTTGCATAAGACGGGCAATATGCAAAAACCTTGACCATATCTTATCTTCTTGAGAATCGTAATGATCATTTAATTATTTTTTATCTAATAGTACCTATAAAGTTTCAATGAATTTTTTTGCAAGACTTGGTATTCTAACATCTACATGAGATTTGAAAAAGAAAACTCACACAGAAAGTTTTTGTAGGAGATATCAGAGTATACAAGGGCAAAAATGAACATTTAGGAGCTAGTCTCTGTCGAATATAGATCTTGATTGTCTAACAGCATAGTACTTCAAATCAATCCTTTGAATTACTTAAACTATATTTGACTTCCATGTCATGTTGCTATGTATGCATATACCAAAAAATTTTGTTATAATCTGATTATGCAAAGGACTCATCTCATACACTTACCAAAATGTCATTATTTTTTTTGGTTGTTCTAGAATTAAATTACGTTAACAGTGTCTTACTTCAATTCACCACTAATGCATTTTTTTCATATAAGTTAGTAAATTCAAAAAACTTTATATTTAGCTCTTTATAAAGTTCCTCGGGATGAGAAACGATACAATTCGTGATTATATAGTTCGGCATGTCTTTCATATAAAGTAAAGCGATTCCAAAAAAGCCTTCATAAACTTTTAGATCCATACCATTACAACAGGAACTGGAAAGGATAGTTTCTGTTGCTTGATGCAAAAAAATATACATTTCTTCCTTGGTTAGCTTTATCAAAAGATTGGATTCATAATTGAAATCCTTGTTTTATTTTAGAGAATGGAACTCCGAACCGCCAACATACAACAAAAAATACATCCAAACAATTTTAATCAACATACCTATCACGATTCGATTAGGACTAACTCCATCATTTTTAACTATTTCATGGATCAGTTTATTGATTTCTTTTCCTGCATCTTCTAACGTTTCCATGTGTTCGGGAACACATGGTGTTATGCTGTATCTGTCAAACCATACAGTACTGAGCTGAAAGGAGAGCATATGTAAAAAAAGAAACAAAATAAACTTTTGATTTTACCTCACCGTATGCTGGTGTATATGGTCTTGAAGGTGCAGTGGGGAAATAGAAGTTGATATGCTTTGGAAAGGAATTTCTACCTACAAGAAAAGTTATCCAGTTCATCACTTCATGGCCGGAGCCTCCTGAAATTGTAAGGAAATAAATGATATCTTACCTAGAATGTAATTAGGTTGTTTCAAAAGTTTTGTGCGTTTTCATGAGTCTACTTTAAACTGCAATATCTCAATGAATACTTATTCATTTTAATCGAAATAACCGCCATTTAAATCAGTGCAAGCCAAGGTAACATAAATTGTTTAATTCCGTCAGAATAAAAATTGAGCATAAAAATTGGAATTCAGTGAAGTCGACGAAGGCCGTTTTTGAATGGTAATCGAAGTGCATGACAAGATGATAGTCGGTTGGCGAGGGGTCCGGGGAAAATGGTGGGTGAGGCAGACTTTCGAGCTCAATTCGTTTCATTTTCGGACAGTGGTTTATGAAACGGGCGTTGTCATGGAGAGGATCGGAGCTCTTCTGTTGAGCAGTTCTGGCTGCTGCGAGATGCATTTCTCGGTACATTTCGTCGATTTCCTCACAATAGGACTGTGTTGTGAAGGTTTGGCCCTGTTGCAGAATGTTTTTAGTGAATCACATCAGCCGCTGACCATCCTAAAGTGACCATGGTCTTTTTTTTCGTTGGTTTTCGCCTTTGAGAAGTGCCTGGGTGGCTCATCGTTGTCGAACCACTATCCCGAACGTATTCTGTTGTAGAGGATTTCTACTTTTCATCACACATGACACATTCTATGTTTTTTACCACTTTTATTTGTAACTAACGTTATTGCGTTATTGATTACAAATGTTAGAAAATCACCAAAACTTGTATTTTTTTTATTTGCGGTTTGAACTTTGATCAAAGGTGCCTGTCCACAGATTCACTTTCGATAAAGTACTGAGAAATATCCGTCTTCGGTCAACAAGTCTAACATAACATACATAAAGTCAAAAATGAAAACATTGTATGTCTACGAACCCTGCGACATGACGGGCCATGGCATTCGTGGGAAGACAGTACGGCATTAGCCTGGCATGTGCCTATCCGTTGCCTGCCTTAGCACCCGTCCTGTCGCAGTGTGCGCCTTGCATAAAGCGCGCGCCTAAGCCGACCCTGGACAAATGGTGGATTTCTCTCATAGCTGTTTCTGCACGGTAACCTAACCTAACAGAAAATGTACTTTAAAATTTCCTATGAGAAATGTGAATTGATTTGAAGAAGATGAATTTAAAATCTACTATAACTAATTTTAAACTTACCCGATCCATGTAAAAATATCACTGCTCCGGCACCATTAGTAACTGAGTTGGATCGTTTAATTACATGAAGAGCGCCCAGAGACATTATGTCAAGAAAAAACTACGAAATATAAAGAATATCTTTGCTGAACGTTGTATTTATATTTATCACAACATATACTTTTGTTTTGCTAGCCTGTTTGTTTGTCTCGGATTTTTTATGTTATAATTGGTAATCACTAAAAGTCCACCGAATAATCGCTGCCTTGTTGCCAATTTGGATAAAATTTCCTGCATTTTATTAGTTGAATAATTTAGAAGGTACAAATCATAGATTATGTGATGGGAATTGGCCAATACTTGATGCATGGGGTGTATCCATTACAAACATAAACAAATATAGTCTCTTTATAATTTTGGTTTAGATAAATATTAGAGGTTTCCTACTATACCTCACGTGCTTCTACCCTCGACCCCTCAATCTCTTTAGAATTTCCGAAGAGCAATGAGGTTTTCATTTCTTAAATCAATACCTAGAGAATCTGCTTAATCTTCAATATGAGACAAGTGCTTTTGTTGGATTTATTACTCCCAAAAATATTTTGTAATTCTTCAACAATATAACTGTTCTTTCATAACGAGTGTCCACAATTTTCACCATACTTTCTTTTTTGAAATGTGGCAACCCAGCTCTATCACCTGAGCTACAATCACTTTCAGTGACAAGATGGATTTTTTAGAATATATTGGTATGCTTTCACCTAAAAAGCGTATACAACTTTTAGATGTGGAGTACGTGAACGGTTCAAAAAAATAAGGTGAATGTTCAAATTTCGCGGGCTATATACATTCGATTAGCCATGTTTTCATTTTTCTATAGTGGTACACTTGTCTCCAACATATGTTCCTCAGTTCAGCTGTTTAGCATGTTTATTTTGTTGGCGAGAGGCATAATAGAAGTGTTTTGCGTGTTCGCCGATTTTCTGCTATTAAAAAAAAGGATCAAGAATTTGCATCAAATTTTGTGTAAAAAATAGAATAAAGTGCTCAAAAATATTTGAAATGTTTCCTGTGGTATACGGTGATTGTACTCTGAGTCTGAAAAATGTTCACAAGTGGTACAAGCTTTTCATAGAAGGTCGAGAAGATGTGAATGACGATGATCGCCCTGTTCGCCCAGCAAATCAACAACCGATGGAAATGTTGAGAAAGTGAAAAAAATTGTTATGGGAAATCGTCGAATCACTATTAGAGAATAAGTTGCTGAGGATGTCGGCATATCGGGATGTCGGCATTTTGGGCATGAAGCGTGTTGCAGCGAAGTTGTGTTTGATAAAAAAACCGTTGCATGAGAATCGCTCCAAAATTGTTGAATGACGTCAACGGCGATCCAGATTTGCTGAAAAAGGTCATAACTGGTGACGAATCATGGGTATATGTATGGTTATGACATCGAAACCAAAGTCCAGTTGTCCCAATGGAAAATTCGAGGAGAGTTAAGACCAAAAAAAGCACGCCAAGTTTGATCAAATGTCAAAGTTTTGCTCTCTATTTTCTTTGCCACATGGTCGTACGATCAATGAGGAGTATTATCTTGAAGTAATGCGTCGCTTGCTAGAAACAATACGAAGAAAATTTTCGGTATTGTGGCTTTTGCATCACGATATATAATGTACCTACTCACTCGTCACTAATGATTCGTAATTTTTTTGGCCAAAAAAAAACACGTAATCATTCCTTAGCCACAGTATTCACCAGATTTTGCCCCCTAAGACTTTTCCTGTTCCCAAGATTGAAGAGAGCCATGAAAGGACGGCATTCTGCGACGATTGGGGAGATAAAAACCGAATCGCTGAGAGAGCTCCAGGAATACCAAAAAGTGCATATAAGAACTGCTTCGAGGATTGGAAAAATCTGAGGGACACTATCACTATAAATATATTTTTTGTGAAAAATGAAAATTCACCTCATGTTTTCGAACACAACGTTTATAATGATACCGCCAAACCGTTATTTTGGCGAAGATAATATTATGACAATAAATAGTATAGTACACAATGGGTCATCGAAAACACTCCGCAAGTCAAAACTACCAGGAAAAGAACTTTTCGCAAAAATCTAAAAACACTTCAAGTCTTTTTTAATGCGGACACGTTTTGACCTGAAAGCTATTGAAAAACTTCTACCCAAGCGGGACTGTAATTTCCATTATTTTTCAAATTGAAAAAGGTTTTTGATACCTTATCCATTGCGCCGCGTTTTTGGAAGTCGGTCCACTCGTTTAGAAGATTGAAATATAATAGTAGGGTAGCCCAAGCAGGGATTTTTCGAAACGTTGCACCCTGTAATATACCCCTACCAAATATTAACCCTTAATAAAGTGGCGTGCGTTGAGGGCAGCCCGTCAGATTAGTAAAAAAAAATTGATCCTCAGAAAAACTCGAGCGAGTCAGATTAAGAACAGGTAAGTTAGGTACATCCAGAAAAGTATATATTTCAATAATGTGACAATTTGAGCGTGATATAACGAAATGGAGGAGTCACAAAGTCGTAAATAACGTCACAGCGAAATACTCGAGCGCGGATAATTTTTTTTATTCTGAAGGGAATTATATCAGGATCACGAAAAACATTGAATCTGACGGTTTTTATGGGGCGATGTAGTTAAAACCATAGATAAAGCATGAGCGTTCAGATGCTGAGAGCTGTGTGTTGAATAAACAGCTCTCAGTGAAAGAAGCCTCCACTGTTACCATCAGAATTTCTGATAAAGATATCGTTGTGATTATGTTAGCCAACGTGAAACATATTAAATCATCGGTAAAAATCTGGATGGATCTCGGAGAAGGTACTGCACGCCGATATCTCGACATATCCGATCTTTGTGCCAAATTGGACCCATTTGTTTCACAAGCACTTCCCAATATGCATGCGCTCACTGGATGTGATTACAACCCAGCTCTTTATAGACGTGGAAAAAAAGACCTTTAGAAATTTTAATGGGATCTGAAACTTATCAAACAGCATTTGCATATTTGGGATGTGAAGCTTATGGTATTGAAGAATTGTCTCTCACCATGGAATCTTTCATCTGTCATCTGCATGAATTGAAGAAACTAGCTGATGTCAATAATGCTAGGATGGAAATATTTAATAAAACATTCAAAGTAACTATTGTTACGATATCACCAACAAACCGCGGATGAAAAAATGTGGATGGAAAATTAGAGCCGGCTCGTTAGAAACCACCTTCCTGAAGCATACGAAGATATCGTGATAACACCTGACATTTTCGAAGAAACTTCGAATTCAGGTACGTTTTCTTTTTAATACCTTTATATCATAAAATAAATGACAGATTGTGAAGTACCATAACTATTCTTGCTTTCAGAAACACGGGACGACGAGGAAGTCGAGACGAATCCAGTGATGATGAAGTTTACCTAATTTTTCTTTAATAATTTTTGTTATATACTTTGATATTAATGATAATTTCTATATGTGTATGTATGTATGTACATTTTCTTATTTCATCCAGTAATAAACAGAGGGAACAAAAAAATATTATTTTATTCCAAAACTGTCACATTGAAAAATTTTTAAATTGTCAGAGTTCCAATATCCCTCTATATAATATTCAAATTATCATTCGACTCAGACATCAGGTTGAACCCACAGTAGTTGAACCCACATATAAAGCCCTCGAGTATTTCAAGTTGGCATTGTTTAACATTTTGAAAAATCAGTCATGAGTGTAGGTCACGTCCAAATCGTGAGTAATTCAATTGCATTGCAATCTGGCAAATGACAGCTCTATCATAAAGTTGGAAATTTTTGAGCTTATACGTACTCAGAACATTTTGACATATGCGCGCTATTTGTGTTGTTTACAGTAACTTAAGATTCACCTCGGCCCAAAAATGGAATTAAATCGTGAAAATTTTCGTGCGATTATTTTTTACAACTTTCGACGTGGATTAACTCAGCAACAGTGCATGGATGAAGTTATTTCAATTTTTGGCGATGAAGCTCCATCGAGGACAACTGTTTATCGATGGTATGGTGAATTCAATCGTGGTCGTAGCTCGCTCCAAGACGAATTTCGTGAAGGTCGTCCAAAATCAGTTGTTGTTTCGAAAACCATTGATGCTGTGCGCGAACTGATATTGCAAGATTGTCATGGGACATATCGTGAGATTGAGGCAACCTTAGGCATTAGTGGGACCAGCATACATTCAATACTGCATAAACATTTGACTGTCAAAAAAATTTGTTCGCGTTGGATCCCACACAATTTGTCAATCGCTCAAAAAAAGGGTTGTGTCGATTGGTTGAAGGAAATGCCCAAAAAATTGGATCGCGGTGCTTCGAAACATGTCTATGACATTGTGACAGGCGATGAATCGTAGATTTACGCGTATGAGCCCGAAAGTAAACAGCAGTCGACTGTATGGGTGTTTCAAGACAAGCCAAATCCAACAAAAGTTGTTCGCGCACGAAGCACTTCCAAGCAAATGGTCGCGTGTTTTTTCGGAAAAACTAGACATGTCGCAACCGTACCACTAGAATAACGCAGAACAGTCAATTCTGAGTAGTACACAACCATTTGTTTGCCAGTTGTCTTCAAAGAAATCAGGCAAACCAACCGCCGAAGACGGATCACTCTTCACCACGACAATGCGAGCTCTCACACATCGGCTCAAACAACTGCATTTTTGAGCGCCCAAAACATCGATTTGATGAGTCATCCGCCGTATAGTCCTGACTTGACACCGAATGACTTCCTTTTGTTCCTGCACGTAAAAAACAAACTGAAAGGTCAGCGTTTTTCGACACCTGAAGAAGCGGTTGCTGCATTCAGAATGCATGTTTTGTAGATACCTCAATCAGAGTGGCAAAAGTGCTTCGACAATTGGTTCAAACGCATGCAAAAGTGTATAGATCTTCATGAGGAAAACTTTGAAAAACAATAAAGTGATTTTCGATGATTAATATTTGTTTTTGTTCTCTAATCCCGAAATATAAAAGCCAACCATCTGTTATCATAAAGACAAAGCAAGTATACACTAATAATATCTGACGCGCTCGAGTAACTGTATTATTTTACATTTTGTTCTCCACGCTCTTTCCCCCACTAAAATAGAAAACTTGATATAAACTTTTTTTCGTTTTAGAACCTAATCTTCACAATCCAATAGGTCTCCATGACGCTCTAGTAACTGCAAATTTAGCATTCAGGCCTCCCATGCTATAAGGGTCGAATTGATAAAAAATAGAAACGTAACGCATTAATCTAAATAATGAACATAAATTCCTTGAGAACGAATTGCATTTTTTTTTCTTCAGTATGGGGTTGAATATAACTTGATGAAAATCCATATTGAAACTCATTAATGTTTGAAGATACTTTATATTTATGATAAGAACTTTATGGAGACTTTTTATAATTTTTATTTCTTGTAAAAATATAACAACTGAACTTGACAATATATAACAACACACAATTGCTGTTACCAGATTTTCATAGCTTTCTGGGAGACTGCATAAAAGTAGTGCTACTTGTAGATTCTCTGCTAGATTTTCTCCCAATGTGACTAACTGATCGATATTGTTCATCATATTAGCTATGTGCTTTTCCATGTCACCATTTTCAGGTAATGTTGTTTTACATAACCGCTTCAGCAAAAAAACTTTATTGGTGAGAGTTGGTTTTTCATATTGTTTCTTTAAATTCTCCCAAGCTTCTTTGGCTGTTTTACAATTCTTAACATGTATCACTTGTGAATCTTCGATTAGTAAACCAATTGTAGCTCTCGCTTTACCATCTTTTGCATCCCAATCACTGTTCTTTTGTTCAGGTGGGTTTTGATTGACTATTCTCCATAGTTCTTCTTTCAGTAAAAGCATTTCAACCTTGTATTTCCATATTTGGTAATTATTGCTATTCAGCCTGACTATGTTGAATTTTGTCACATCCATATCAACAACAGTTTCACTTATATATGCCAGTTTTATTGAAACGTGCCTGGGCCCATAACCTGTTTGAAAATACTTTATATTTATGATAAGAACTTTATGGAGACTTTTTATAATTTTTATTTCTGGTAAAAATATAACAACTGAACTTGACAATATATAACAACACACTACCATAGAAACATCGAATCAAAAACATATAAATATAATGTGGCTCAAATTCATTTTTGTTGTTAATCTCCAACAATTAATACAGTTTATTGTATGATTTTCACTATAAAGGGTTTTCAAAAACCGCGACACGTGTTTCGCTGTACAATAGTTTTCTCAAGCGTAAAATAATAAACGTAATAATAAGTAACTTATTTTATTTTACGCTTGAGAAGGCTCATGTATAGCGAAACACGTGTCGGGGTTTTTGTAAAACCCTTTATAGTGAAAATCATACATGAGTTTCAGTATGGGGTTCTTGCTTGTAAAAAGATTCAGGGATAATCTATCTGTGAATTGTGGTGGTGTTTTGAAAATTATTTTATGATTTCTTTCAAATTCATCGGTTATGGAATACTCGACTCCAGAAAGGTTTGGTGAGATTGAACTTAATTTTGAAAATAATGATTATGGAAATCGGGTTGTTTAGCTACTTATTCAACAGTATACTGAAAGAAACATTTTTCGCGAAGTGTCAAAGTGTCATGAAACTGAAGTTTATTAGATTAGTAGTATTATATGTGATGGAATCAGCCTGAAACTTGATGAAAATCCATAAGTTTGTGAGATTTTCACCAAACAGTTTTCCAAAAACGCAACACGTGTTTCGCCATACAGTAGCTTCTTCAGGCTTCACAATATCATATGAAGATTTCGAGAGTGGTCTGTCTTCGTTGAGGCATTCGGTATATCTATATATGGCTTTTCGAAATCTCATATTATTGAAATGGTGAAAAGTATGTTTATTTATGAATTCAAATCCAAAATTACTAGGTCAAAGTAAAAATTGAGTGTTTAAAGTGGAAATTTTGAGATTGAACTCGAAATTTTTAGTTGCACCTCTCTGCGTTATTTTAGTAATTTGTCGTGTTGAACTATTTCTTTTTCTGCTGCTGTATACAATTCTAGATTATTCTATATTTTCAATATTGTGGAAGGTAATAATTATCAAAGAATATTATTTGCTCCAATAATTGAACCTTTATATGTCATTTGATTCATTATCTTCAAGAGGTGGTACAATGTTTTGTATCCAATCAAACAACCCCAGAAGTTCGTTTTTCTTCAATTCGTGCGAAGTGTTGTTAATCCCGACAAACTCAGCGTTTCTCACGCCAAGTTTTGTTAATTTGTCAAAGGTTTCGAAGCCCCACGGAAAAAATATGAATGGATCCTGTTTGCCATGAGACATATGAAGGGGAATGTCTGGAATTTTTTCCATTCCGAAGATTGCTGAATCGTTGTTGAGGAATGATGACAATGCGAATACTCCAGCTACTCCAGGTGTGAATCGGTAGGCCATATGGAGAGCCTGCGCCCCACCCATTGAAAATCCACCTGCAAGCACATTTCAAGCATGAGTTTGAGGAAATTTAAGTAATATTACCCAATCTGTGATCAATTTTAGAATGGGAACTGAGGTTAGTTATCCAGGCCAGTATGCCGTGGTCAAATGCAGATATTGGCTCCAAGCGTTTCGTCTGCTACCGCGGCATACATCATCAGTGGTATGTGCATCGAGTGCGAGTACGAAAGTTTCAGGAACGACGAAATGACTGACTGACTGATGATAAGCATCATCAGCGGGTAGCAATGGACTTGGTATGGTTTCTCGTTGCTCGTCAGTTCACCAACTGGTGGAAGATCGCAATCCATTGCTGCCAACTGCTGGACAACTTGCCTTTCGTAGTTATGGGCGAAATGATCGGAGCCAATCTCTCCATTGGACCATGGGCTACTCTCTATTGGACTTGGAGCTTCGAAAATCTTAAACTTCAACTTGAGTATACAACATTGAATTATTACACAGCCGACACATCCTGCTCTCGCTAGTTTATTTTTTTTTTAATTGAAAACTGTCATCAATAACTTGAATTAATTGAAACTTGAATAAATTGAAAACTGTCATCATAATATGTTTTACGTACTGTTATCGTGGGAAGAGCACGTGGAAAGAGCATTCGGACATATCATCCAACACATAATTCAAGATGATGAATACAGGGTCTTTCACGACGAGCGTTCATTAGGAATATATGGAGAACGATTCAAAATAAAACTTGAAATTTTGTGGTAGTGGATTTTACAAAATGGCCTTCTCAACTAAAATATTTTGAACTTCCGGTCTCTTTCCGTTATACCGGAAGTTGGGGGCAACTTCCTTATTTCATTTTTGAATTTCTCAGCACATTTCAGGTCCACTTTGTATAACAATGCCTATACCCAAATTTGTTAGTTTTCGAGATATTGATTTTTTTTTTGAAAAATTTGACAGTTACAGCACCACTCCGAAAAAATCATAACTCATAGACAGTAACACTTGAAAATGTGAAATTTTATAGAATTACACCTTGAGCATCAAGTCATGAACAGGTCGAATTTTTGAAAATAATTTACAGGGTGGTCGAAATTGCCACCTAAAACATAACATCAAGAAAACTGATGAAAGACGATTTTTTCAAATGGCAAGATATATCCGATTTTGTGAAATATTTGAAATGTAAATCATTCGAAGCAATACCAAACCAAGAAAGCTTTGAAAAAAAATGAACTAATATTAACTCTGTCGTTGGTAAAAGATAACTCAACATGAAAATGGATGTTTGAAGGTGATTGACAATGTTTCGTGATGAATTTCACTAGTTCGGACTTCCATTGTCTACTATATAAAATGATTTGAAATCCCTGAAACAAGTTGTAATTTTATTTTGTTTATATTTTTTTAAGATTAGATTTTACTTTAATTTTAGAATTTAACTTAATTTCTTTAAATTCAAATAACATTGTGGTTCATTTCAACAGATGTTCAAAGACATTGCCGTTTTGTTCTAAACAAGGATATATTCTTTTTTGCATACCACTATTTATAGCTTTCTGTATGGAGTCAGGAATCAAATTATTGAAAGCTCCCAGAACCCTCCGTTTTATGTTTTCTTTATCACTCACAGGATCCGCATAAACATTTCTTTTGATATATCCTCAGATGAAGAAGTCCAGTGGCGTCAGGTCTGGAGAGCGAGGAGGAAATTTAAATGGTCCATTGTAGCAAAGCCACTGATCTTCGAACATCCCATTCAACAACCCAGCAACGGTATCAGTACTATGTGCAGGGGCTCCATACATCTGATACCATAACTTGAAACGGTATTGTTCAGAAACATGCCGTATGGATTCACCAACCATATTCCTAATTAAATCTATCGCTATTCAAATTCTCTTCATAAAGATATAAGCATATAATTCGGTCTTCCTTTATAGCCCAAAAAACATTAAGACTCCATGAATCCTGGAAGTTGCGCTGGCGAACGAGCTTTGGATTTTCTGCTGCCCAAAAATGACTATTATGGCTGTTGTATATACTATTCTTGGCAAATTTGGGTTCATCTGTCAATATCATGTTCTTCATGAACTCAGGGTCCTCCTGTATCTTGATAAGAAACCATTCGCAGAATTCCACACGTGCAGGTAAGTCGTGAGGTTTCAGATTTTGAACCTGGTGATATTTAAAAGGACGCCATTTATGTCTGATTAAAATCCGGTTTATTGACGAACATGACATTCGAAGTGACTTTTCTACGTCTTTCAACGAATTTTCTGAGTAGGCTGTGAAGTAGGCTGTGAAGTAGGCCAAAACTACAATTTCGATGTCCTCATTGTTAACGAGTGGTTTTTTTTTGTTGATGACAGACGAAAAAGATCCGAAATAACGGCAGTTTCTTAAAAATCTTCTCAGAATATTTTTATTGGGTCTGTGTAATATAAACATGAAATTCGGTCTTCTTTTATAGCGCAGAAAACATTAAAACTCCATGAATCCTGGAAGTTGCGTTGGAAATCTTTCTGCATTCACCATAAATGATTATTAAATTCAGGAAATCTTCTTTAGAATACCCCAAACGAGAAATTCTGCACACAAATATAAAATTACCAAATACACGTCAATTATATAGCATCAAATTTTGACATATTTGTTGTAACTTCATTTGTTTTCAAAGCTTTCTTGGTTTGATGCCTCGAATGATTTATATTTCAAATATTTCCCAAAATCGGATATATCTTGCCAGGGGTGTATTTTAGGTAAAGGACATTTTTCATGATTTTGATTTCTTTTTTTTCGTAGTATCCAAAAATAATAGAATAGTGTATGGTTTCCATTCGAAAAAATCGTGTTTCATCAGTTTTCTCGATGTTATGTTTCAGGTGGAAATTTCGACCACCCTGTAAATTATTTTTGAAAATTCGATGGACATGTTCATGACTTGATGCTTTAGGTGCGATTCTGTGAAATTTCACATTTTCAACTGTTACTGTCTATGAGTTGTGATTTTTTCGGAGTGGAGCTGTAACCGTCAAATTTTTCAGAAAAAAATTAATATCTCGAAAACTAACAAATTTGGGTATATGTATTGTTATACAAAGTGGGCCTAAAATGTGCTGAGGAATTCAAAAATGTAATAAAATATAGGGTGTTCCAATCGAAATAAGGAATTTGCCCTCAACCGTATAACGGAAAAAGACCGGAAGTTGAAAATATTTCTGTTGAGAAGGCCATTTTGTAAAACCCACTACTACAAAATTTTAAGTTTTCATTTTGAATCGTTCTTCATATATTCCTAACGAACGCTTGTCGTGAAAGACCCTGTATAATATGCATCCGATAGAAGCTATAATAAATGGCATAGCTGAAACATTTCGAGAGTGATGTTTTGAAGGCACTCGTGGATAACAGGACTTTTTAAGAGAAAAGTAGGATTGATGCTACCTGGGCTGAAATGTATCGGACCTAACACATAGATGGCGTTAGTCTTCTTGCATTCATAGCTTTTTCAGTTGTGAGTTATTGTGCTGAGAATGACACTACTTTTGTTAGTTTTCAAACAATGGATCAAAAACAATTTCGTGTTTTAATTTTACACTGCTTCTTAATGGGAAAAATACCGTTCAAGCGGAGCAATGGCCTTGAGAAGGGTTAAAAGAAATGCATTTCATCAGAAACAAAAATTTAATGTTGATTTGCTGACTTCAAACGTGGTCGTAGAGACACCGATGATGCAGAACGCAGTGGACGTCCAAAGGAGGCAGTAACACCAGAAAACATAAAAAAAATCCACAAAATCGTTTTGAATGATCAAAAATGAAGTCGACTATCGACTATCTTGAGAAGGGAAATACCATCAACACTCTTGACTATGACATTCTATGCGATAAACTCAGCTTCTTCGGTTTTTCTATGAATGCGCTGTCTCTGGTTAGAAATTACTAATCGAACCGAACTCAAAGAGTTATGGTGGACAGTGTCAGCTCAGAGACTCTGCCCGTAACTAAAGGTGTTCCTCAAGGATCAATTATTGATCCTTTACTATTCAGCCTGTATATTTGTGACTTCCATCAGTCGGTAGAAAAATGCAAAATTCATCATTACGCAGATGATACCCAACTGTACTTCTCCTTTCAGTTCCCTGACATTGGTTCCGCTCAAAACCTCATTAATCGTGATCTACAGACCATATTTGATATTTCATCAGCTCATAAATTGAAGTTAAACTCCAAAAAGTCAGCAGTAATGATCTTTGGACCGAAAAGATTGCGAGATATTGCTAAAAATAGTCTTCATATGCATATAAATGGTGACGTTCTGCCTTTTGTAACTGAAGCAAAGAACCTAGGCCTGTGGCTCGATTCTGAACTACGCTATACAAAACACGTTAGTCATTTGATTCAAACGTCTTTCAACATATTAAGGCAACTGTTTTCAAATCGGGACTTGATCACCAAACAACTCAAACTTAAATTATGTGAGGCGCTAATCATTTATGAAGTTTCATATTGCGATAGAATTTATGGCCCTGCATTACTTCAATCTGATTCCCTCCGTCTTCAACGAATCCAAAACGGTTGCCTTCGTTTTTCTTTTGGAATTCGAAAATACGACCACATATCAACGGTCATGAAGGAATCAGGCTTGCTGCAACTAGAGAAACTCAGTAAAACTGCACCTACTCATAAACACCCACAAAGTCTTGAAGACCGGAATGCCGCCTTATTTAATGGAAAAATTGAATTCTTTCCCTAATATTAACAGCTTTTCCACTAGAAACAGGTCGGTGCTGGTCATTCCTGAACACAGGTCTTCTGTTTTTACTCGCAGCGTCTCATACAACGCAGCTACATTCTACAATCTCCTGCCCAGTGAATTCAGATCCTACACGTTGAAAAACTTCAAAAAAAGAGTCAAAGAGCATTTATTTGATTAGTTCACTTGTATGTACTGTAATTTTCATTTATTCATTTCAAATTTCATTTTTATCTCGAAGGTTGAGTTTAAAAATAGCTTTGCTGACACTCCGCCCCTTCACCTCAATATTTTTTTTGTATATTCTGTATGTTCTTACTTCAGGTGAATGAAGACGTTTTATTATTATTATTATAATATTATATAGCTTTATTTGAGCGTTTGAAGGCTGAAATTGCAAATAAACGCCACATATGGCAAAAAAAATTAGTTCCATTAAAATAACACATTGTGTCATAAGTCAATTAAAACAATGACAAAACTACATGAATTGAACTTTGAATTGCTCCCACATCCATCATATTCGCCAGATTTGGCTCCCAGCGACTACTAACTGTTGACAGACCTCAAAAATAAAAAACAGGACAAAGAATGAGAGCTGATACAATAGAGCCAATAAGAACACACTATCTCATCAGTAAAGCGGTTGCAGAAAAGCAAAGAATAGAGAAATTCTTTCTAAATTGTTGTTAACTTCATTGCCAAGTGAAATCAGTAAATGAGTGCTTGAATAAAATTAGAAACTGATCGATTTTAACATTTTGATAATCATATTAATATATTTAGGGCCAACCTGAGGGAGTCATAGTAATTTGTTTGGGTGGAAAAACTACTGCATCGTGAGTTTATCAATTGTAGTAATATTACTTGACTTTGCAAAAAGTGGCAATGACTAACCTACTACAATTCGATTAACGGGAACTTCATCCATCTCAATGATTTCATAAATCAATTTTTTTATTTCCTCTGCTGATTCTTCTATTCCATCTGAGTCTTCCGGATCCCCAGGAGTTATATTGTATCTATTGAACCATACATTAGTTATCTGTAACAGCACTTTTCAACATAACAGTAAATGAATAGAAAAAAAAGACTCACTTTTTGTAGTGGCATATAAAATCTCGCTGGTGCCGTGGGAAAATAGAAATTAATGTGCGAAGGGAAGGAGGAATTGCCTACAAGAGATGTTATCAGATTCGAAATTTCGGGTCCGGAGCTATCTGCAAAGGCAAATATAAAAATGATACATTCAGTAAAAAATAGATGACTAGTTATTCAATTCTGTCCTTGCGAAAAACAGGAAGGATCATTAATAACTCAGTATGAATTTTTCAGTTTCGTTTTTTGATTCCCTAGTGAAGAATTGCCATGTTACGTAATTTTTGAATAGAGATACTACCCAGCTTGTGATTCTATTTATTTTATAATTATTTTTCCTTATCTGTTTAGTATAATTTCCGTAAGCCACTGCAAGAGAAAGATTGAGGCAAAAACCTCACAGTTTTTTCTTTAGTACCCACTATTTTGGAATTATACTATTTTGAGATTTTCAATAAACAGTTTTACAAAAACACAACACGTGTTTCGCAATACAATAGTTTCTTTAGGCGTGTCTTTACTAACTAAAATCTACATATTCAATGTTTTACATATTTCCAATTCGACAAAAAGTTTTATTCATGCAGTGAAGGACTGATAATGGGTTACCTGTTGAGTCTTCTGCTAGCTAAAATTTTCATTGATAACCTAGAGAATGAAATCCATAATAATCAGGTAGTTATTGGTACTGTACTGTACTGATAATACGTAGATAATAACTTAGTCTGTTTTACTGGAACAGCTAGACAATTAGGTAAGTTATATGTCAATTCTATTCAGCCGTCACCACTGAAAGAGGGGTAAATAATTCAATAAATTACCTTGACTACTATGAAAATTATTTATGATTTCGCAATTTCATTAGTTCGGACTTCCATTGTCTAATATGATGTAATATGATTTGAAATCACTGAAAGATAAAATATAAGTCAAGCTAGAAATTTAAAATTGAACAATTAAAAATGAAATGAAAATTAGAAGATTTCAAGCCTAGGTACTTCACAACGTTAGTTTCCACAATCATCTTCGGGTAATGACTGGACTTCTGTGATAGCATATATGGACCGTTTTAGATAACAGAGATTCCGGACGCATTCACAAATTACAAAATTCTTGTTCAAGGTTGATATTTGGTATAAGGCGAAGACAGAGAGTGTCGCATAAACGGCAGGAAATAAATTGGATGAATAGGTATAATCGAAGACTACTTCATACAACCTGTTTCTTCTATATAAATAGGAAAAACCTCCTTATTTACACAAAAAAATCATCTTTAGAAGCCATGTTCATAATGTAAATATTCGTAGGAGAGGAATTATAACTATACCCTCCCATAAGAAAGAGATATTCAAACGTTCCTTCACATACTGCACGGCAAATCTTCTGAATAAATTTCGGATCACTGACTTCACAAAATCGATGGCGTCATTCAAAAGAATAATAAAAGAGAAGCTATCTCAACATTAATATATTTAGTACTCATATTCGAAATATAATATTCTCAATCTTAGTCTCAGGATATGCATTTTCCCTCTGGACCTGATCTCTTATCAGAAAGCTGACAATAGGCCAATTAATCTGTATATCACAATATATGTATATTTATATCACTGTATATCTTATTATTATTATTCAGACCAGAGTCATCTTAATTTTGAACAGCTCTGCGATGGTGTTTTCGACCAACTGGACTATTTCTCCGAGAGATGACTATTTATAGGTCATTCGAGTGCTTTCACCTACCTCCTCTTCCCTTTCTCCGCTTCATCGGTTATAAACAAAGACAAAACTTCAGTGTCGGATAGATCAGGAGTATATCAGATGACTTGTTGACTAGTTGATCTTGAAGACGTTCCTTCCAACTATCAAAAAATTGACAATTTCCTGCCAGTCCACGGAGAGAGTTCATAAACTGTTTTTCCGATAACAATTTTTTTTCGATATGTTTATCTGTCTTCTAAACTCTCATTGGTTTATCCACATCGCCATAAAATGTAGAATGGTTGCGCTGATTGCAATAATCACTTTCTATTAGTCGATGTGTTTATCAATATTTGTGATGATAAAAGTCAAGTAATATAACTGTCAGTTGAAAACCGACAATTAAAACTTAACAAGTAGAGTCGCTATATGAACATGAGTAACAATTTAATTCGAAACCTATGACACATGATACTACAAAAATCATAAAAACCTGCTGCGTGTTTCTGAAAAACTGAAAGTGTCTGTCTCACAAATCCAGAAAGTGTCAAAATTTATATATCACTCACCAATACCAATCTTCATTTTGATACACCTAATAGGTACTCTAGAATCTAGAACTTATGACTTGTTTGATATATTCGTTGACACTCGGTATAATAGTGGATAAACAGAAAATCAATACAGTGGATCATTATATTTTTAAAAACAAGCTATTATTGAAGCGTAATGAGCTAGTGTACTAATTCGAACGGAATAGTCAAGTTATTCACTCAGAATAGAAAATTAGTTCTAGTAAAAATAAACTATAGCCACCTACTTACTGAAAATCGTTATAGTCATTGTAATTTATTTGTAGATTACCTGAAAGCAAACGCCCAGAAAATAAATTCAGTTAGATGTGAGCAATTTCCCTTGTATAAATGAATTGCTTTGCTATTTTTCTCAAGGATTCATATACCTACTTTCTGGAAAATGTCAGGACTGTTTCAAAAAATATATGATATGATTTCTCAACTGCTCTTCAGTGTGCTCTTGGTTGTGTAAATATATGTTTCAAAAATATGGCTTTTCTTCAGCTTGTCATTGATAGATTTTCATTCCCTCTCTGTAGAAACCATCAGCAAATGATTTGTTCCCAATTTGTCGTGTATGCATTCGATCCGGATTATTTCCCAAGTTATCACGATTACCATAATTTATGCTGTTTTAGTACGTTGTACTTCGTTTAGATGATTATTTGATTAAAAACTTTTCTCTTCTCACAACTTCCTATGAATGTTTGAAACTATTCGAATATTTCCATCCATCTAACTGGAGTAAATCTGCAAACTCATCAGAATTCGTATAGTGGACCCTGTTTTTCAACAGTAACTTCCTAATGAAGAACAGTTTTATTGGAAGTGATACAAATAATGAAACAACAACAACAAAAACTAATTGGCGGTCTGTTAGATTGAAGTGTTCATCTATTTCAAACCTTCGTAAGACTATGATGCTTCCGTCAGAAGTTGAGTCATGTTTGAAGATCATCAGTGTTATTATGAGATTGACTGGTGCTCCAGCTATACCTGTTGTCTTATAATATTCAGTTAGTTTGACGCTTATTTGGCAATACAGTTGATCATCACCCGTTAAAAGTTCTATTTTCAGATGATTTAACAATAAGCTTTGCAAGTGTTTATCAGTCCTTTTAGGAAACGCTGGTTGAAGTCCCAGAAAGTATTATACCTTTTTGCTACCTCTTGAACATGTACTACAAAGTAAACTAGTGAGTATTCTTCCATCAAAAGATCTACAAACACACGACGAGATAGACTGTACGGAATCATTCAATCCAGAGCTGACTTCTGTTCACGAAGAGTATTCAACAAGAACCCCTAACTAGATCTAGTGACACTTAGATTAGAAAGATTAGTATCGAAACCGTTTATATTTACAAACCAAAATATGTTTCTTTCCTACTAGATATTATTATGGATATTATTATTTGTTATCGTTATTCAAATTAGAAAAGTTGCGTGTGCTAGTTATCACGTTATATTCATTTATTTTTGTACAACTGTCATTAAAAGTGACCTTTTTAATGGCTGTCAAGAGTATTAAAACGATTTTTTCCGACCAAATAGCAATAAACAAAACATAATCATCAATGTTCAAGAATGTTTTATAATAAACAATAGATATAGAATCCTGCCATTTGATAGGAGGTTATATTTTTGTTTATATTTTTCTTTGTATTTTGTTTCCTATCAATAAAAGTAATTATTATTAATTAAATTCTGTTACGAATGTATTATATACATTAAACACTAGCAGGAACTTTAAATGTGACTTTGAATGAAACACGTGAGCTGTAAACAATACTGTTTCTTGGTATCCGGGTGATTCAGCGTCACCTGACACGGCCACTTCACAGCAAATGCGATAACATGAAAATAGTTAACTGACAAGTGATGTCAAAATATGTTTATATAGAAATATTAAATTCATCTATTTTATTATGGAAACAGAGCAGTTGTATAAAACACTTTGTATGATATTTGTGTTGAAAAAGTAAGTTTTATTAACCTTACTTTCAACACTCATATCATAAATAGCTATTACGTGATATTTTGAGACTACATTATCGCAAAACGATTGACTATAGAATAAAAATAAATATGAACATTTAACTATTTCAATTTTTAGATAATGAGCATTAAACTGGATGTAATTGAGCTTCGGATCAAACAATTATCTTATATACATTGTTGTGAATTCATGGCAATGAAGGTATACACACATTACATTTTTTTTAGTGATGTACTCGCTCGTTCCCTAATTACGTTTAATAAAGTGCCGCAACAAAGCGAAATACCGCTAGAGTTCTGCCTAGGTATATACAGTGTCATCCATTAAGTACGCACCATATGGGAAACTTTTTCATTAAGGGTTTTCCGACAAAAAGTTATTCATGATAAACTAAACATGCACCATACGTAATATACGAGGAGCCTTCAAATATTTGATTTTGTGGCAGGAGTAAAGTACTCTTATTTTGAAAAATTTCGGGAAATGTTATTCAAAAAAGTTGTTTAGATTTGTAAAATACATCTAGATTTAGAGTAATGGTCATCTAAGTAGAGTTTGATTTTTTTACTCGTTTTTTTTTAAATGGGGACTACGAAATACATTTTTTTATATTAAAAAGACGCTTCAACCACGTAGGGTTATTAGCGTAGGTTCAGTGATACAGATTATGCTAGAACTATATTTCCTGTAACATATTAATGTGTTTGAGAAAAGCTAAGAGATTGTCAGTATTACAATTTTCCCCTAATGTGTCTTTGAGTGAACGGGTAATATTGAAATTGAGTCTATCATTATGATATAGAACGCATTCGGTTAACATATGTTCAACACTTAAAATAGAATTACACACTGTACATTAAGGTTGCTGTTCGCCTGTCAGAAGATGTCCATGAGTAGCGCGTGTATGACCCAGTCGAAGTCGTGAGAGGATTACTTGTTTTCGCCTGTTATCAGGTGTGTGCTTCCATGGTAGAACTGATGCCTTGATGTTGGATAATTTTGAGGATGATTCATTCCATTGGGATTGCTAACAGTTGGTGAGGATATGTTTGTAAAAGGGTTTCAGATCTTGGTACACAACTTGAAGTTCTGTTGCTGTAATCGGGTTGGTAATAGCTTCCTTTGCTAGTGTGTCCGCCATCTCATTACCTGCTATTCCTATATGCGATGGAATCCACATAAAATGAATTTGTGATTCTTCATTTTGTAGCAGAGAATGTATAGCTCTTTTCATGAGGAGTATGATGGGTTGGTAGGTGTACAGTTCTTCAATTGCCTTAAGTGCATTCAAGGAGTCTGTCACAATAAGGCATTTTGTTAGATTTCTTACTTCGGCGAAATTTAGTGCTTTCAATATAGCATATATTTCCTCTGTGAATACTTTACTCTCTTTGGGTAATTTGAAGGAGGCCCTGTAATCACAACTTATGAAAGCTGCCCAAACACCCTCTTCGGTTTTTGATGCGT